GGTTTTTAACTTAGTTGTTGGTTGTTTTGTAACAATGGTGGGTTTTGGGAGTATTTTGGACAAACTTAGGGTTTGGGATGTAAAGTCAAAAGAGGGGTTTCTATTGAAGATAATATAAATAGTCATGGGGTTTGAAAATGAGGTTATATTGTGTTCCAATTGTTGATTTTGGTATTTGGGTTGGTATTTGGGAAAAAAGGGAAGTTTTCCCTAAAATGATTCAAGTATTTATTTTGTATAAATAAATGAAATTGGTGTTGTAAATATGAAGTTGGATGAATATTGGAATAAATGGAGGAGTTTGATATGTATTACCTCATTCATTTGGAAATTTTGAATAAATTATATGTCTTGAGAGTGAATATCTGTTTAGAATAACTGTATTGGGCTATCGGTGGAGGATAACTATGATTGTTGTAGAAATTGCATGAGGATTAGGTAAATTAAAACTAATCTAGTGTTGGTTGTCATTGAATATGACTATGTTTTAAATACACTTTATATGTATGATGTTTGGGAGGAGAAAGATGATGTACTCCATATTTGGGAGGAGATAAGGGATGGACTCCATTGAAATTAAGTAGGTCGGAGTGTCTTGGGTGAAAGTCTCAAAACCGTGCGTATACATAGGTGCCGATCCCGCGAACGAAATTTCCATAAAATGGCAAATTGAAGTGTTTGTGTGGTAATTGTGTTGATTAGATAACCACTGAGTTTTAGTCTCAGTTGGGTTGTTGAAAGATAATAAAATTGGCTCATGAATTGAAATGAATTGAAGGAAAATGGAATAGGATATGAACTTTGGTACTTTATAACTATACAGAATATGAAAATTTTACTACTGGCATTGTAAATGCACATCATGCTTATATCTTCGTTAAATCTCATATATTGTGTTAGATTGTTTCTACTAGGCTTTGGCTCACGCTATTTGAGAAAAACCATTTTCAGGTGTTGGTGACATGCCTCTGCCAAGGCAATAGCTGGGAGGGACTTTTGGGAGCAAGAGTTTCTTTCTTTTGTTGTATTTTTTTTTTTTTGTATAGCCAAGGGCTTTAATTGTATTAAACTAGGCTCACTTTTGTTATAACCAAGCAATGATTTGGAAAGATGTAAGCTTATAGGGCATATGATTATCTGCTTAGCTTTCAGTTCTTTTATCATTTGTTATAATATATGCTGTAGATTCAAGATGAACATTTGTGAATGTATATCGCATGTGTTAGCTTTTGTACACGAACTTTGATAAATGAAAGTATATTATTTCTATTATCTTTTCACTTGTTGGTTGATTTCATTGTATTATTTTTTGGGTGTTACACTTATGCTTGAATGGTTGTTATGCTTGATAGTATTATATTTGACCCATTGTTATTCTTCAATTTTATTTGAATTGTACAAAGAAATGAAGAAGTTGTAACACATCTTTTTCTTCATCAATAGTAATTTAAGTTCAATATATCTCTAACAAAATATTCATTTACATCCTTCTGCAAATACATCAGTGGTTGAAAATTAGAGGAAGAAATGAAACTACCATCTGAGTGAAGCAAACCAAACACATTGAAAACACATTACAATTAAAAACACAACCATTGCCATTTCACTATTTCAGTGCAAAAACAATTGACATTGTCATTGTTGAACAAAAGCATTAAAAATACAAAACACATATTCTGGAAGCAATGTAGCAATGTAGCAGCCAAAACACATATTCTTACATAGCAAGCCTAAACACATGTTTTCCTTCAATTATTTTGGAGTAAAAACAGTCCATTCAAAAGCAATGTAGCAATCAAAGCAATGACAAGTCGCTTTTGTTGTGCACGATAATGTTGAACAACATCCTCCAATTGTGCAACTTCATTCACAAATTCTTCTAGGGTTGCAACCTTATCCACCAACTTCAGTAAAACTTGTCTACCACGAGCATGTATAAGTGGCTCGTACCAAGAAAAGAAACCACAAGCCCCATTTTTCTGTAAATGCAAGCAAACATAAACAAACAACAATTTTACCCATCACATATCAAAAACATAAAAAAAGTATAAACTTACTTCATAATTTGGACAACCCAAGAATCACCTAGCGTGATTAGCATGAGTCCATGAAGTTTTGGTCTTTGCTCTTAACTTACAACTGCAATGAGTCAACTCACCCCAATTATTCGCACCCCAGCTATTACCTTTACTCATTTTTGTCTTTCTCTTTGTTTATCTATATCCCCTCTCACCTCCTTTGATGGAATAGCAACAATGATGCACTGAAAATGGAGACAAAAAGGTCATAAATCAATTTATAAAAAAAAAAACCATTCATTGACAACAACAATGAAGACAAAAAATTGTTTAATTTGATATAGCACTAAAATGTATATCATCATCGTTTGTGAAGCATGGAAGTGGTTTATGTGTTTTTGATACAACACCAAAATGTGTATCCACCTTAAATTTTTCGAAAGTGTTCTAGTGGTGAATTATAATCACACCAAAGGTTTTGGCCAGAGTACTGAGCCTTGTTTCAAACTCAATATTGAATAAGAAATGGAAAGTGAATTGTAATTTAGACTTGATTGTCATGGAGTTGTAATAAGATGTAAATGGAAGTGTAAGTATCGACCATCTATCAGTTGCTAATCTTTTAGGCATTATTTATGGTTGGTTTAGTATATCTCTGCTGGGCTGTGGCTCACCCTATATGGGAACATCATTTTCAGGTACAGGTCGCATGCCACCTCTGAGGACGTAGCTTAGGAGGCTAGGGGCAGACATACTTTTATTGCCTTATTTTCCTTTGATGTATTACATGTAAATTCAAGCCAAGGGCTTAATGTGTGACCGAGTCAAAACTCTCTTTGTAACCAAGTGTTAACTTGGAAAGCTGTAAGCCCGTAGGGCATTTGCTTTTATTGTTAACATGTAATACTTTTGTAATGAAGTACTCTGATAAATTGAGGAAATGTGGATCTTTTATATATAAATGTATGCTTATATTGATGGGTTTGATGTTACTATTTTGAGGGCGTTACAAAAACAATTGACATTGTCATTGTTGAACAAAAGAATTAAAAATACAAAACACATATTCTGGAAGCAATGTAGCAATGTAGCAGCCAAAACACATATTCTTACATAGCAAGCCTAAACACATGTTTTCCTTCAATTATTTTGGAGTAAAAACAGTCCATTCAAAAGCAATGTAGCAATCAAAGCAATGACAAGTCGCTTTTGTTGTGCACGATAATGTTGAACAACATCCTCCAATTGTGCAACTTCATTCACAAATTCTTCTAGGGTTGCAACCTTATCCACCAACTTCAGTAAAACTTGTCTACCACGAGCATGTATAAGTGGCTCGTACCAAGAAAAGAAACCACAAGCCCCATTTTTCTGTAAATGCAAGCAAACATAAACAAACAACAATTTTACCCATCCCATATCAAAAACATAAAAAAAGTATAAACTTACTCCATAATTTGGACAACCCAAGAATCTCCTAGCGGGATTAGCATGAGTCCATGAAGTTTTGGTCTTTGCTCTTAACCTACAACTGCAATGAGTCAACTCACCCTAATTATTCGCACCCCAGCTATTACCTTCACTCATTTTTGTCTTTCTCTTTGTTTATCTATATCCCCTCTCGCCTCCATTGATGGAATAGCAACAATAATGAACTGAAAATGGAGACAAAAAGGTCATAAATCAATTTATAAAAAAAAAAAAACCATTCATTGACAACAACAATGGAGACAAAAAAAAAAAAAAAACAGAGAGCAATAAATCGACAAAAACAACCAAAAAACTACCCATTACTTACCTCTATCTCATATTCCAAAGCTTTTTGCACAATAAACCATGACCATCGTTCCTTCCTTCTATAAGTGTGTTTAATCACGGGTTGAATCACCACAGATGAATCGCACTAGGTGGGTGATTGGATGATGCCCTAATCGTAATGAGGGGTGTATTTGCCCTAAATCGTGAAGACTGGGGCTCTGTTGGAGTATTTTGTCGCCCTTATCTTCCATTAACGAATAGAGATGGAGATGGATTGGGGGGAGGGGGACCAGATCGAAACACATGTGGAATGATGGGGTTTAATTTGTCAAAATTAAAAATCTGGGGTTTAAATTGAAAAGGGCATGAAACCCTGTGAAAACTTGGAGTTTTTTATGTAATTAACGTAATTATATATATAGGTATATAAAATTTAAATTAAATATAAATCTTTCATAATATAGAATCACATGTTAAATTAAAAATTTAATATAATTACTATTAAAATATACATGAAGTAAATGTAAAAATAAAAAATATCATTAATATTAAATTAAAAAAAAAAACTTAAATACTTGAATAAAAGTGAAAAGATTAGAAGATGACTTGCACATAACGAAATATATGAAAATGGCAATATATACTTGACTCATTCCAATAATGAATTTGGGAATTTACATCATATATGTCTATAAAAAAATAATTCAAATTCCAATGTATCCTACACTAGAAGTAATTTGGAGAAATGATAGAGTAGATATTTGTTTGGATTTTTAGTTTTATCTATTGTGGCAGGTTGGTTACCATTATCATGTTAAAGGCATTGGGATTCAACACAGACTATCTAGAATTTTTCATATCACTCAATAATGTTAAGAGAATTTAGAAACTTCTAAAAAGTTCTAAAGAAATCTAGATGGTTTTAGAATAATTTGGAACTTAATAAACCAAGGTAGAAATCTAGAAGAATCAGAAAGGTTCTAGAGTATTCTAATAAAATATGTCTAGCATGTACTAGAATAGTTTACAAAATTCTAAGATATAATATAAGGGTACAAGAATTCTAGAATATTTTACAAGGCTAATAATAACTCTTGGATCAAGTTGATCCTAATCATCCATTAAGGAGATGGAAGACTATATAAAGGGAAGACCATTCATTTTAACTAGCATAAATATGAAATAAAAGTTTGATCCTCCTAATTCATTAAGGATGTGGAAAACTATATAAAGGGAATACCCTCATTTTAAATAGCATAGATGTAATAGTTTTTGTAATGAGAGTCAAATATTATTGATGTTTTGCATTAATATCTATCTATTGTGTTTGGCGAGAAATGATTTGTGTTTGTGTTTTTCTTGTATATAGTCAGTCACCAACTAGAATAGATGTGTAGATATATACCATTTAACCCCATTATATAGATATATATATATATATACATGGTACTTTATATAACCATCATGGGCAGCTAGGATAAATTGGGGGATTAAGGAGAGCTTTGGACTAACTGGCTAAATTACAAAATTAATAGGATTTTCCTCTTATAAACTTGGACCAATGAAAACCTGTGTAGCATACATAAGTCAATGGATTGATAATCACTATTTGTGGATATTTATGACGTTTTTTTTATTTTTCCCCTCTAAAGGGGTGGAGATGTGGAACTAGGTATGCTACACCTAACTTTATTATTAGTTATTTTTTATTTTTTAACATCGATAAATAAGTGTACTTAAAATCTACCTTCTTTTTTTTTTTTTTACAGCAAATTGTTCTATTCAGATGAAAAAGGTGCAGAAGAAAATGTAAAATACTAAACTTTTGTTATTGAAATTATTTTACTTTATTTTTTATTTGTAACTTATTGGGATTGACATTGACATTTAATTGTTTAGATTTGGAGAAAAACAATTGATTTTACCGTTGAAGCTTCTAAAAAGCTGAAGCCAGAAGACTTTATTTGAGCAACCATGCAATACGGAGGGATTGCCAATTCATTTCCTTGTAGCATTTTGAGAAGATACTACAAGATGGAAACAGTTAAATATTGCAACAAGTTGAACGAGCTCAGTAATCCACTCTTTGTAGGATTGAGATATTTTACTATTGATGATGAGTTTTTGAAACTTGTCCATGAAGGTCATTGCACGAGCTTAAAGGATTATTTTTCAAAGAACGATGATTTCTTCATCAAGGAGGGCAATGAGATTTTTTATGCCAGTCCATTGCTTCAAAAGCTAACTAGGTAAACTATATCTATTTTAGCTATTCAGTTAAAAGTTTTTTTCCATATAAAATTTTGCTATTATTTATTTTAAATATTTATTGCTTTGTTTGTGTTTTTGTTGATAATCCAATAGAGAACTGATTGCTTTGTTTGTGTTTTTATTGATAATCCAATAGAGAACTGATGGTGCAACCAAAGAGATCAATGACCATGGGATATAACTATTCAAGATTTGTCAATCATCTACTTGTACTTCAGAGGTGCATATCAATCAATGTTTCCCCGTTGCAATGTAGAGAGGGTGATGAATCGAGGTGGGGCCTAGATTGAAACACAGGTGAAATGATGGAGTTTAATTTGTCGAAATTAAAAATCTGGGGTTTAAATTGAAAAAAACGTGAAAACTTGGAGTTTTTTATGTAATTAACGTAATTATATATATAGGTATATAAAATTTAAATTAAATATAAATCTTTCATAATATAGAATCTCATATTAAATTGAAAATTGAAGATAATTACTATTAAAATATAAATAAAGTAAATGTAGAAATGAAAAATATCTTTAATATTCAATTTTAAAAAAATTAAATACTTGAATAAAAGTGAAAAAATTAGAAGATTACTTGCACATAACGAAATATATGAAAATGACAATATATACTTGACTCATTCCAATAATGAATTTGGGAATTTACATCATATATGTCTATAAAAAAAAATAATTCAAATTCCAATGTATCATACACTAATAGTAATTTGGAGGAATGATAGTATAGATATTTGTTAGGGTTTTTAGTTTTATCTATTTTGGCAGGTTGGTTACCACTATCTTGTTAAAGGCAATGGGATTCAACACAAACTCTTCAGAAATTTTCATATCATTCTATAATGTTAGAAGAATTTAGAAACTTCTAAAAAGTTCTAAAGAAATTTAGATAGGTTTAGAATAATTTGGAACTTAATAAACCATGGTAGAAATCTAGAAGAATCAGAAAGGTTCTAGAGTATTCTAATAAAACATAGAAAAAGTCTACTATGTAGTAGAATTGTTTAGAAAATTCTACAATATAATATAAGGGTACAAGAGTCCTAGAATATTCTACAAGGCTAATAATAACTCTTGAATCAAGTTGATCCTAATCATCCATTAAGGAGATGGAAGACTAGATAAAGGGAAAACTCCTCATTTTAAATAGCATAAATATGAGATAAAAGTTTGATCCTACTAATTCATTAAGGATGTGGAAACTATATAAAGGGAATACCCTCATTTTAAATAGCATAGATGTAATAGTGTTTTTAATGCTAGTTAAATATTATTAATGTTATGTATTAATATCTATCTTATTACTTTTTTTTTTTTTAAAGTCGATTAACTAGTGAACATAAAATCTACTCTTTTTTTTCTTTTTCTTTTTTTCCAGCAATTTGTTCTATTTAGATAAAAAAGGTGAAGAAGAAAATGTAAAATACTAAACTTTTGTTATTGAATTTATTTTACTTTACTTTTTATTTGTAACTTATTGGGATTGACATTGACATTTAATTGTTTAGATTTGGAGAAAAACAATTGATTTTACCGTTAGAGCTTCTGAAAAACTGAAGCTAGAAGACTTTACTCAAGCAACCATGCAATACGGAGGGGTTACCAATTCATATCCCTGCAACATTTTGAGAATATACAGAAGATGGAAACAATTAAATATTGCAACAAGTTGAACGAGCTCGGTAATCCACTCATCATGGGATTGAGATATTTTACTGTTGATGATGAGTTTTTAAAACTTGTCCATGAAGGTCTTTACATGAGCTTAAAAGATTATTTTTCAAAGTACATCAATGATATTTTCTTCAAGGAGGGCAATGAGATTTTTTATGTCAGTCCATTGCTTCAAAAGCTAACTAGATAAACTATATCTATTTTTTAATATACAACTACAAGGAAAAGTTTTTTTCCTTATAAAATTTTGCTATTATTTATTTTAAATATTTATAGCTTTGTTTGTGTTTTTGTCGATAATCCAATAGAGAACTGATGGTTCAATCAAAGAGATCAATGACCATAGGATACAACTATTTCTAGATTTGTCAAGCATCTACTTATACGTCGGAGGTACATATCCATCAAAGTTTCCCCGTTGCAATGTAGAGATGGAGATGGACCACTGGGGGGACGTGGAAGATTGAAACACAGGTGGAATGATGGGGTTTAATTTTTCAAAATTAAAAATCTAAGGTTTAAATTGAAAAAGGTGTGAAACCCTGGAGTTTTTTTTTTTTTATGTAATTAACCTAATTGTATATATAGGTGTATAAAGTTTAAATTAAAGATAAGTCTTTCATAATATATAATCTCTTGTTAAATTGAAAATTTAATATAATTACTATTAAAATATAAATAAAGTAAATGTAAAATAAAAATTAGCTTTAATATTTAATTTTCTAAAAAATTATATGCATGAATAAAAGTGGAAAAATTAGAAGATCACATAACAAAATATATGAAAATGGCAATATATACTTGAGTCATTCCAATAATGAATTTGGGAATTTACATCATATTTGTCTATAAAAAAAATAATTCAAATTCCGATGCATCAGACACTATTAGTAATTTGGACAAATGATAGAGTAGATGTTTGTTAGGGTTTTTAGTGTTATCTATTGTGGCAGGTTGGTTACCACTATCTTGTTAAAGGCTTTGGGATTCAACACAGACTCTTTAGAATTTTTCATATCATTCTATAACATCAGGAGAATTTTGAAGCTTCTAAAAAGTTTTAAAGAAATTTAGATGGTTTTAGAATAATTTGGTACTTAATAAACCATGGTAAAAATCTAGAAGAATCAGAATGGTTCTAGACTATTCTAATAAAGTGCAGAAAAGTCTTGTATGTATTAGAATAGTTTAGAAAATTCTACAATATAACATAAGGGTAAAAAAATCCTAGAATATTCTACAAGGCTAATGATAACTCTTGGATCAAGTTGATCCTAATCATCCATTAAGTAGATGGAAGACTATATAAAGGGAAGACCCTTCATTCTAAATAGCATAAATATGAGATAAAAGTTTGATCCTACTAATTCATTAAGTATGTTGAAAATTATATAAAGGGAATACCCTTATTTTAAATAGCATAGATATAACAGTGTTTGTAATGCGAGTCAAATATTATTAATGTTTCAAATTAATACCTATCTATTGTGTTTGGTGAGAAATGATTTGTGTTTTTGTTTTTCTTATATATGGTCAGTCACCAACTAGAATAGATGTTTAAATATATACCACTTAACCCATTATATATATATATGTGTGTGTATGTATATGTATATGGTACTTTATATAACCATCACGGGCAACTAGGATAAACTTGGGTATTATGGAGAGCTTTGGACTAACTGGCTAAATTACAAAATTAATAGGATTTTTTTTTTTTTTTTAAACTTGACCAATGAAAACATGTGTAGTATACATAATTCAATGGATTGATAATCATTGTTTGTGGATATTTATAACGTTTTTTTTTTGTTTTCCGTTAAAGGGGTGGAGACGGGGAACTAGGTATGCTATACCTAACTTTATTATTAGTTATTTTTTAGTTTTTAAAATCAATTAATAAGTGTACTTAAAATCTACCTCTTTTTTTAAAAAATTTTTACAGCAAATTGTTCTATTCAGATAAAAAAGGTGTAGAAGAAAATGTAAAATACTAAACTTTTGTTATTGAATTTATTTTACTTCATTTTTTATTTGTAACTTATTGAGATTGACTTGACATTGACATTTAATTATTTAGATTTGGAGAAAAACAATTGATTTTACCATTGAAGCTTCTGAAACACTGAAGCCAGAAGACTTTATTCGAGAAACCATGCAATACGGAGGGATTACCAATTCATATCCCTACAGCATTTTGAGAAGATACTACAAGATGGAAATAGTTAAATATTGCAACAAGTTGAATGAGCTCGGTAATCCACTCTTCGTGGGATTGAGATATTCCATGAATGTCCTTACATGAACTTAAAGTATTATTTTTCAAAGCACATCGATGATATTTTCATGAAGGAGGGCAATGAGATTTTTTATGTCAGTCCATTGCTTCAAAAGCTAACTAGGTAAAATATATCTATTTTTTAATATACAATTAGAAAGAAAAGTTTTTTTTGTTGATAATCCAATAGAGAACTGATGGTGCAACCATAGAGATCAATGTCCATGGGATACAACTATTTCTAGATTTGTTAAGCATATACTTGTATGTCGGAGGTGCATGTGCATCAAAGTTCCCCGTTGCAATGTAAAGACGGAAGATGGACCATGGGGGCTAGATTGAAACATGGTTGGAATGATGGGGTTTAATTTGTTGAAATTAAAAATCTGGGACTTAAATTGAAAAAGGCGTGAAACCCCAGAGTTTTTTTATGTAATTAACCTAATTATATGTATAGATATATAAAGTTTAAATTAAATATAAATCTTTCATAATATAGAAACTAATGTTAAATTGAAATTTTAATATAATTACTATTAAAATATGGGAAAATTATTTATAAGTCCTATTAGGGAGACTTATGCTGCATATGGTCCTACTAAAAAACTTATGTTTCCATAAGTTCTGGGGGAAGTTTGTTGACACATTTACCCTCAATATTAGTTGTTAATATCATAAATAATAGTAAAACCATATATAGGAAATTGAATGTTATCATAGATCATATCTATATAAACGTAACGTAACGTAACACCTACATAAACGTAACGTGACACCTATGATCTATGGTAACATACAATTTCCTATATAGGAAATTACATATTATCATAGATTATATCTACATAAACGTAACGTAACGTGACACCTATTGTCACGACCACATTCCGCCCCTAGTAGAATGGTGCCATGATGGCTAGCAATCCGAGATTACCAAAGGCCAACTTACAAAGTCACACACAATCAGAGTATACATATGGGGCTTATATGTGCAGAAGGAATAAATTTAAATCTAAATAGTACATAAGAGCTGTGCATGGATCAAATGAAATGACATACATAACACGGTTTTACAACTTGAATACAAATGAATTAAAACTAAATATTACATCGTGATCAAAAGGCTTCTGAAGCCGACATATACAAAAGACATGCAATACAAAGCCAAGAAGTACAATCTTCAAGATGCTAGCAAAAACATGAATCCAAAACATCTTGCAAAACACATCTAGGCGTCGCCGCCTTCTTGCTCGTCACCTACATATATATAAGGGGGAGGGTGAGCTTGGATACTCAGTGAATGATATTAGTAATAAAGGTTTAAATGAATGATATCCGAGATCTTTATCAAAACAATACATATCATAGCTTGTACAAAATCAAGAGATAAACCAAGTTCATCTATCAAGTCTTTCAGATCTTCAAGTGATGCTTACTAGCATCTACATAATACAAAGGATGACATTCCTAAAAAAACAAGGGAATAATCGACCCGGAATCGATTAGACAAACC